CTCTTGTGACCAATGGAACCCGAGTTGCTTCCCAAATTTTCACAGGAGGTTTCATGAATCTGGACCAAAGTGTAGCAGAGTCACAATCACAGCCTAGTACTAGCATGGTCTACCCGAATCCATCACACCGATTTATCCCTTACTTGGGCTTTGATGGCTGGACAGGGGCGCTGACGTGACTCGTGGAAATTTTGCCCTCTGAGCACCTTAACTGGGGATATGCACGGCTGACGTCGGGTTCAAGTAGCCCAATCCCTGCATCCAGTCTAGGCTTCCCCACGTGTACCGTCGTACCTAGCGGCGGAGCGTCGAGTTGAGGGGGGTGGTTCCAATTGAAGGAGTAAGCTAAGCCCAGAGAACTTACGTACTTCACATAGTGCCTGAGGTATTCAAGAGATTTCGCCCTGGGCGTAAGTCCCAAGAAGGAAAAAGAAAAAGATCCGCCAAAGGGTCTCCAGCCACCAATGCTCGGTCTGAGAACCTCATTCCTCAGATCCCGGCAGACTCTGCCAGGTGAGGCTTGCGCCCCCTCGCGGAAGTCCTCGGGGGAATGTGGCACCCAAGAAGAAATCTGCACCTAACACTCTGATGCTACAGGCCCCCCAACCCACCAACCCACCAACCCACCCACCCACCCACCAACCAACCAACCCACCCACCAACCAACCAACCCACCCACCAACCAACCAACCCACCCACCAACCAACCAACCAACCAACCCACCAACCAACCAACCGACCCACCAACCCACCAACCAACCAACCAACCAACCAACCGACAGCCAGCCAGCCAGCCAGCAAGCAAGCAAGCAATCAGCCAACCAACAAGCTTGGCAAACTATGACCACTCTCTCGAACTACGCTATAAGGCCCAGTGGGGTCAATTTGCATTAGCTTTTGACAACGAAGTGGTCCGTAGTCATCAGAGGAAAAATGGGTCAAACCACCAAAACAAGAGATCCCCAATTTGAAAAAAAACACCAATTGAACGGATGGACCCCCAAGGTTGTTTGTATATGTGCCTCATTTGAATTGGGTTTCGCACTTCTGCTTGTTCTGGGGGAGGGGGCTCTGTTGAGAAGGCAAATTCAAAACTGTCAATCAAAAGCGTGGAGGTTGAAACTACAAAAAACAAATGTATGGGATGTGCAAACAAAGCAAGGAGTCAGTTACTTTTTGCCCTTTTCCAACGTGGGGTCCAGCCATACTGGGCCCAAACGTGGAACAGCGCTCCATACAGGACCGTCGCATTCGTTGGCGTTCGACACAGGAGCCGCTCGGGACATGAGTGTTCCTCACATATCCCTTTTAAACATCACCCCGCCAACAGGAAATCGAAATGGCAGCTAAACCATGTTCTGATGGTGAAAACAAGAAATATCAACAAAAGGGGGAAACTTAGACGGAAACACAAGGGAACCATGATCGACCTGGCGAATTTTTATAAAAGGGCCACCGTAAGGACCCCTCACCGACCCCGCGCAAAAAACACGCGACAGGCCAACGGCGAGGGATCGCCGGGGCGGCGGCGCTGGCACCTCGCTGGCGGCTGGAGGCGCGAAAAAACTCGAGACTGGAGGCGCGGCCAGGCGCAGCCAGGCGCCGCAAAATCCGCGTCTTTGACCCAAAGGCAAAGCAAAACTTTTTTGAATCCCCGCGGAAACCTTCCAACCTTGAAGGCCGGCCAACTCCAATTTGACACTTGCAACCTCACCGCGGAAACCCCCAAAAGAGTCTTGAAAGCGGCCAACTCCAATTTGACACTTGCAACTTCAACCTGTCTGGCTTGCGAGGCAAGGCGCGTCGCTGTCGGCCATGGTGGAGCAGCCATGTTCAAAAGGCCATCTCAAGCAAGCCGCGGGATTCTTCCATTATCTGTGTGCTGCCGTTCTGACCGAACTCTGAAATTCAACGTGTAACCTACCTGCAGAGATACATATGCTCAAAACCCCTGGCCTGTTGGGAGTTGATGCACGAAACCTTTGCTGAAAAACAATCCACCTGAATATGTACTGCTCCACTTTCGAGGCATTCTCCCCGTTTGTTTTATTCTGTACTGCCTGACATCCGAGCCGCGTCCAGCAATCAGGCCGGCATCCTGGTGGTTTCCTTTAAAATAAAAGAGAAACTGTCGCAAACATGCCGTGATTTCCCAGAAGCCTAAGGTTCTCCCGACGTTTCAGGCGCGAAGAGCGACTTTTGAAAAAAAAAGCAAAATACCACAAAAAACAATGCCGGCATGAGCGAGCGTTGTAAGCATGTGTGTAACCATTGCATCAATCGAAACAACACGTGCAAGCATGAGCGACACAGCTTTTCATGGAAAAATATGGCATCGTCTGATAGACAGAAACACGAAACACACATAGCCATGAACGTTGAGTTCTAGGACCGATGCGCATACGCACCAAATACCCAACATTTATACGCATACGCATGAGTAAACACGGTGTAGCGGCCACGTTTAAAAATTGCCCCCCAAAAAGCCGTTGCACTTTCATGCGCCCGCAATCTCAACAAACATAGGCATAGATGCGAGAAAAAACAAGCAACTGAAATGATACGTTGCAAAGCTCATGGTACGTTGCGTAACAACGTTGCAAACCTCAAAGGCGTAGATGCATCGATACGCTGGTACGTTGCAAAACAACGACCGGTAGCCTCAAGTTTCGGCCTGTCACAGCTGTCCTGGTCTGGCCACTGATCGGAGCGGCTGTCAGCCAGTCCTGTCTGTCACAGCTACTGCGTACATGAAGGTCAGGCCATATTTGTCTGTCGGAATACGCTCTGTCACAGCTGTCATTCGGCACCATGTTGAGTATGAGGATCGAATGTCACTTAAAATATGTCATCATCATCATCGTCATCATCATCGTCGTCATCATCATCATCATCATCAACAACAACAACGACAAGAACAACAAGCTGTCGCACAAAAACATGACCTGATTCGTGCTTGTTTCTTCTTCTCCATGTGTCCTCGAAACTGTTTCTTGCTATTAAAACACCACACAGCATCAAATCACTCGTTAGCGACCCTTGGTTCATCTGGCACGGCTGTGCATTCGCATTTCCGCGCAACTTTATGGCCACTCGCTATAGGGGCGCCTTTCAGGGCTTTTCACCTTTCTCTCCGTTGGCCGAGCCTTCATTGGCGTCATTTTGGGTTAAGCGGCCCAAATCGGAACACACGACGTCCAATGGAGCCGTCAGTCGCTGCTATGCGGGGCACTGCGGGCGCCGATGCAGCATCCACAGATTGCGGAACGGAAGCAGCAGCGAGCTCTTCCTCGCTGATCGTGGCAATTTAGCCAAACGTCAAGGCCATCCTCTTGCGCAGAGCTTCTTTTGGTCATCCTCTTTGTCCTCTTTGGCACGGAAGAAGGATGTGGCGGCATGATTGGAGAATGGGAGGGGCTCTTGCCGCGTGTGGTGCGAGCAAATATGCCTTTCACCACCGGGGTTTCATGCTTGCACCACCGGCAACATGAAAAAAGGACATCTATTCAGCAACAGGAAACGAAACCATATCACAAAAGGATTGTATTAGAATGCTCACACAGCAGACATGGAGAGCGACGCTTGGTCAACTGCTCCATTGCCATCGGTGATATGCAATGGTATATATCATATAATCTTTCACCTGCTCATCGTAAATACCATGCATTCATGAATCCATGCAAAATCCATTGTGCAGCCATTGACATGTCACATGGCTATCCTTGATAAGCGGTAACCATAACTCATCTTTGATTGCAAATATTGTAAGGACCCAGTGCGCGCGCCATTGGCAACAGGTGGTTCTGATAGTCAGAAGCTCATAAATGTCTTAAACGGCGCGCGCTTGTCACCATGCACCCGCTCAAAAGCACCCACACACATGCTTGGCATTCTCTTTGCGCTCCGCTCAACAACCCTCGCTCAAACATCTGAGCGTTGTACATATCATGCGACAGGCGGGGCGCGCTCGCGCCAATCATGAGACACCTGCTTGAGAGCAGCTGCTCCGCACTGCGCATACGCTTGCCAAGATGTGAGCGCGTCGCTCCATACCTATCCGGTACTGCAGGTATGCCTGCCAAACGATTGCATGTCCATTCAACAGCACTGCTCCCAAACCATGGGCACGCCCGCCCACTCACACATGCCCGCTAAACACACGCACATCCCTGCAAGATAATACGCCATACAGATACGGGAGACAAATGAATTTGTTTAGCAAGTGCAACATCACACCCACTCAAGCACACTCGCTGAGTTCTCTGCAACAACGCTCGCCTCAAGGCACATCTAGCGTTACGCCGCGCTTCTGGCAAATTGCAAGGAGAGCGTTTAAGGGCAGCGGCTCAGCACCGCGCACACCCATGCTCAAATGACAAGTGCCAAAATAAATCACGTACAAACCAAAATAGTTCAAGTTCCATATTCGTAATCTGTATATGTATGTATATATCTATGCATATGTCTCACTTCTCAACATACACAATTTAGGACATGCAATGAACAAGGCCCTTTTGTTTTCCAACTTTGACGACGCGCGTCTACCGGCGAAAGGGCAGTGCAATGCCGCGTTTACTGGTGAAAGGGTGGTAACATGCGTTCCATCTGTCCAAGGTCACTTTCAAGCGACACTGCTCAATACCGGCGCTATTTCTATGTTAAACGGTGGCCCCTTGGTAGCACGCAGCCACGCAAACAAGCCACCAAAACATGCCAACACTAATCCGCACCTCCGCAAGCGCTGTCATACTTTGTCGGTAAAGAGGAAAGGTTTGGGAAACCCCAAGAGGCAAAGCTTCGCTAGTCGCAACAGGCTTTTGCAACCGTACTCAGGCCAACAAGAGATGTACTGCGCAGTTCAACAGCCCCTTGACCCTCTCAAGAACACCCGGCCGTCCACAGATTCAAGAAGAAAACTTGCGCTTGGCAAGGTAGAGGGAACGGGGTTGGCAACCTTCCCCCCCAAACAAACTCGCAGGGCAGCCTTTTGATAGAAGCGTAGCCCACCTTCCTCTTGCCCAGACCATTGCGGATGGCATGACATGGCATTCAAAAGCCACTCTGAGCATGGCGTCCTCTGGCTCTTGACAATGACTATGCCTCGCAATAGTGGGCGACACCAAACATCAGGAGCCTTCAAGCATTCCACCTTCTGCCGCCACCATGCTGGCAGAAGGTGCTTAAAACATGCGCTCACTGCTTGATGCAGCGCAGTAGATTAAAAGCAAGCAGCTATCTCACCTCATGGCAACTCGCGATTGACAGAATGGGGATGCCCGTCGCAGATCCGGCGGCTCATCCTCATCCTTCAGCCAGCGGCTTCGCATCGGTATCCTGGATCCGAGGCAGGCTGTGGATGGAAGAAATCTTGGGCACGGCTTCCTTTCCTAGGGAATCCCTTGTTGGGAAAGGACCATTAACGGCAATCAACCTCTCGTTGAGAATTGAAAAACATAGCCAGCCAGTGAGCAATGCTAGGGGAGAAACAACCGTAAATTCTGGCAGAATGTCTTCGACCAAAGGACGCTGCTTTTGATCAGCGCATCATTGGGAGACCTGTCAGAGAAAAGCCCTAATGCGAAGTCGTGCCAAGCTCGGTGCTTGAAGCAACACGGTCGAAAACCAGCTTCCCACAGTAGTTCATCGTGGCGTTCCTGGGCAATTCCGACTTTGGGAGCCTGCCCAACAAAAGCAACCAAATTCAGAGCCAGTACGTTGAGCCCGGCTCTTTGTCGCTCTCAACACAGACTGTCCAAGAACTATTGCACTCAAGAACGGTCGCCGTCCGACAGTGGCTTCCCAAAACCAGCTGCAGTACGTTCCGAGCGTCGATCTGCTGCACAGTTCTGGTCGCCAGCGGCGGCGGCGCGGGCGCCGCTGGCAGCGGCTCCGCCGCGCCGTCGAGGCGCTGGCGCTTGGGCGCGGCGTCGAGGCTGGGCGCCGGGTCCGCCGGGTGCGCCCTGGGACCCTCTGGGGGCGGGGCGGCCAAAGGCACCTCACAGGGCCGCGCTGGTCGCGTAAAGAACGATGTCGCCAAATCCCATGACCCGAGGCTTGGCTCAACTCGCCTATGGTGGCACGAAGGCATCCACTTGACCAAGGTCACCGATTAGTTGCTCGAGCATATGTTGCAACCCAACTTGCCTCCTGCTCATTTTCCGAGTCTTCCTCGATCCTGGCGGAGCACCCAGAGGAAACCCAAGGGAGAAGTTGGGGATGGATTCGAAGCGAATATCTGGTACATTTGCTTGCCGGTCCGGAAAGCGACGAGCGCAGCTCATGCGTTGAGTTGCTGCTAAGTGCAGCACCCCTCGCAGTTTGCAGTTTGGACGCCTGGCCTTGCAACCTTTCTGCCTGACAACGGTCCCTCGCTTCAAGCGGAACACGCTTGCACGACCATTTTCACCTCTCCCAGCCCGGTGATCTGGCCTGCCCGCCTGCGCCTGCAGCGCTTCGGAAGGCCGGGCTCCGGCAAGTCCTCCACACCCTTGGCCCAGGCCACGTAGTCCTCTGCTGTCAGTTGCACAGGGACCCGGTAAAGGGGGTTTCTTCTGAATTGAGTGAAGCTAACAAACAGAACAGGAAAAGGTTGTTGATCTGGGCCAAGTAGTATTTACAAACTGGAAACGCAGGCAAGCTCAGGTCACGACCCGACTGGAGAGCTTGCTACAACGCTCCCAGCCCAAGCGGATCTCAGGTTAGTGGAAGCAACCCTTCACACGTGAGAAAGGTTTCCTGGCATGAGTGAGAATTACTCGGGAAAAACATACTTTCCCGATCCACTTAGGGGAAAGCTTTATAAAGGCAAGAAAAGGGCGATTGTCTGGATCCTTTGTCAAAGCCGTAAATCAAAAGGACAACTGCGGTCCTTTGACACATACACATATTCCCATCTGTAGGCAATCTGGCTGGCAACGTGCCATCCCGCAACTGGGGGTCAGAACACACATTGATATCCACCTGGCAGTGCGTCTTCCACCCACAGCTGGGAGCGCCTTTGCCTGGAGGACCAAATTGTTTAGGGACTCAACAGGAAACCTCCGCGAATCCCATTGGAGGGCTCCTTCTCCCCATTGCAACATGAACGGATCCCTGCAAGCCCTGCAGCCCTGCAAGCCCGCCTTTGCCAGATCGCACGCACGGGCGGCATCCTCCTGTGAAAGGATCAAGGCGCAGGTTCCCAGAGAAAATAAGGGACATTCGCCAAAGGAGCGAAGCGCGTAGGTCAAGTATGAAAGCTAAGGGGTCAAAAAGCTGAGCCCCCTTCCAACGCCAACACATTTGATTTCAAAGTAGAAAATCTAATCAGATTCCATCGTTATTAAACTCGGCTCAAATCAAACAAACCAAATCGAAGTGTTAAAAAAAGGAACTCGCATTTAAATCGTGACCAGAAAATGAATTCCCGATTCATTTATGTTCCTGCTAAGTTCTACTAAAACAATTTAACATCATGGTTGGAAAGGAATTCCTCTTCAAATCCTCTTCTTGCAAAGGGCTGTCCCGCCTGCAGGTCATGAATATCATCTAGGGCCTGCCTCTAACAATTACTCTTTATACAGAGAAAAACAAGTGCCATACCAATTTCATGCCAAATGTCTGCCCATGTTATACCGATTTTGTACATGCCAATGGTGTACCAGCAAAATTATCGATCTGAAACAATAACTTGTACAGCAACTGTCCAGAAAACGTCTGCAGCCAAAGGACTCAAATTTCATACCAAGTTGGTCTAAAATTGGTATTCTAAATTGGTGTAAATCTGGGGGTGCAAGAATTGGTATAAACCTGGCCGTGCCGTTGGGATTTGCTAGTTTTCTGCCTGTTTTGCCGGCCGGATTCTATACCATTTGTAATGTTAGACTAAATGTCTCTGACATCTGCTCAAAAACAGAGTTGTCGGACTCCAATACTGAACTGGCGCACCCCGACTTTTGACCCCCCAGTGTTCAATCAAACTTGTCAGCTTCGGCACCTTGCCGTAAAAAATGGTAGTGAGTCTGCCCAAACTGCGTGATAATTCTGACCCCAAATTGGTACAATTTGGCAGACAATTTGGCAGTAACTCTGCCATAATTAGCAGCCCCAAGTACCCCTGCATTCATGCGTGGTTTGGGTCCCATCTGCAACTTCCATTCAACACCATTCTATTCCAATTTGGAACTTCTAGTATAAGATTCCATCGTTGTCAAGTTACACCCAAAGTCTAATTAAGTTTAATTGAATCCTTTTGGAAATGAACTCGTGTTTAGACTGCGATTTGACCTTGAACATATGTTCCCACTCTTTCCCTATGAAGTTCTATTCAAGCAAAATATTCACATGAACATCATTTTTGGAAAGGCCACCTGCTCCACTTTCTTGAATGCAACATCCTACTTTGGCAGAAGGAGCCTTAAAGGATCTTTCACGTTCTTTAAACATGAGCTTCATACAGGGCATTGTAAGAGACTTTGCAAGCGCGCGAGGACAAGGAGCCTGTAAAAGGAGCACGATAAGCATCTTTATCACTGCCCCGTACGGAGCTTCAAAGGCAGCTTTCTATCGAGCTGCACAGCGAACCTTGCAAGGACGTTAGAATGTTGTAAGGAGCTTTGCGAGGAGCCTGAAAAGGAGCCCTGTAATGAGCTTTGTGAGGAGCCCTGTTTGAAGGGTTACAAGGAGCGCAGCAGCAGCAACAGCAACAGCAACAGCAACAGCAACAGCAACAGCAACAGCAACAGCAACAGCAACAGCAACAGCAACAGCAACAGCAACAGCAGCAGCGGCCAACAGCACCAACCAACCAACCAACCAACCAACCAACCAACCAACCAACCAACCAACCAACCAACCAACCAACCAACCAACCAACCAACCAACCAACCAACAAACCAAGAAACCACCAATCAACCAAACAACCAAGCAGGCAGAAAGACAGACAGACAAACGGACTGACATGCGGACGGACGGACGGACGGACGGACGGACGGACAGACAGACAGACAGACAAACAAAAAAACAACAAATTGACGGACAATGCCCGCAAACCAACAAAAACATGGGGGGGCGGACATATAACTATGCAAAACGCTGGCGTTGCTTTCACACAAAGCAACGACTTGCGCGCAGCCAAGACATGTAATCATCGATGTGATGGCTCCAGTTGAACCAAAATGGGCGGCTCAGGCTTGATCTTCATGGTTTGGGAGTAGCACCCAACAACCCAGGAAACGTGAATTCTTTGCCAAATCTTCACTATGACCGGACAAACATTTGAACATCAAAACATGCTTCCCTATAGCTCTTAGTCACCTTTCAGAACCCGGAAGCTGACCATGTTCGATCAACAAACAAACGCCGACCTTCCAAACCAAAGGCAAGGGCAACGCAACTTACTGGCATCTCACGCGATCATCTCCCAGCCCCACCTCCATCCCTAAGAACATGTAGTCATCTCCGCCAAAGCAACAACTTGTACAGCAATTTGCCCAGAACACTCGCAAATGAGTCATCCCAGCTTGCCGCGCGCCTGGGTATAGGCAAAGGCCGGCACTCTGTCGCTGGCATTGGGGTACCTAGCCTCGATGTAGGCCGTCTTCAGAAAGATCATGTCCTGCAACGATGGCCCACCCTTCCGAGTGCCCAGGTGCCCAGGGACGCGCGGACTGACAAAGTCAGTCGCAACCAATTGAAGAAAAAAACTGAATGACCGCTGGTGAGCTCCAACCGTTGCACAGCTGCCCAGAGGACCTGGAAATAGAAGGTTTATCTTTTGGAGCCTTGACTAAATGTGGACCAAATCGGTCAAACGAGAAGATTGAAACATCGACTTCGGGCAAGTGGGAAAATGACAACCACATGCAACAACAGCATCGTAAACTATGCAGAGTGAAATCGCTGGGTGTCCCTCGCCCACCTGCAGTTTCCAGCTCAGGCAGCCAGAAGAAAGCCCTTCCATTTACAACGCGCAACTGGCTGACTTGTCCCTTTTGTAGGGAGCGCGCCTCTCCCACGTGCATACATTTACCTGTATATGTCAAAATAAATCGACAAACAACATGTGTTTGTAGATATAATTAAATATTCACATATGTTTATATGCAGCATGCACATGGTATGGTATGGCTCTTCGCCGGAAGCAGGGGCACCCTCTTGTCTTTCACGATTGAAGAGCGTAAAGGGGATGCAGCCCCGAGAGGAGAGGTGTGTCGAAAGACAAAGCCCTGTAATCAACCACATCCCTGCTAGGCGTGTCTCTGCTCTTTCAAATAAGGCAAAACACTGACATTGTCGGCCTCCCTCCTAGGGAGCAGTTGCGACTTGTTTCGCCATTCGACACCAAATAAAATTGTCATCTTCCCAACGAATGCAACTCCTGCTATGATTAGCTACGCATGTCCAACTCTTTCGCGGACAAAAAAAAACTCCCAAGTCTGCAAACAGCTTAGCGCAATTTGGCGAAGTTGCTGGATTCCTCCGTCGATCGAACTGAGCAAAATTGCCAGAGCTTGTCTGCTGAAAGATTTCTCAATGTTTCTCGACCTCAGTTGAATCCTTTCCGCTAGCCCTGATTGAGTATGTAAAAGGCAAACATGAAAGATCACACCAAATGTTGGTCCAAAGACAGGCGCCAAACAAACTGCCTGAAGCAATGCACAAAATTTGCTGGGCAGCTAGATCAAGGGAACGTAAAAGCGCAAAGAAGCTCGTAAAATCTGGATCCACGCCGACATGCACGCGCTGACCTGGCAAGGCGTGCAACTAGCGCTGCGGCAAAATGTCTGGTTCAACGCCCCGGAATCGCTTGGCCATCGCTGAAGCAAACGCTATGCAGACTGCAACGCCCCAGAGGAACACGCCGCTCTCGTGTCCATCGCGAGCCATCCCGGAACAACCGCACGTGGACCAGCGTTGCCAGGACGGGCAAGCAAACATATGTTGTTGGTTCCCACTTGGCTGTGGCTCAAAAAACCGGTACCAAAATGGATCCCTGGCAAGTGGAAACATGGACCAAAACCTGCGGTTTGCCCCTCCTGCTTAATTTTGAGCCACACCCACTTACCAATAGCAGACAAGTGAAACATGAAACATGAATAAAGACTCCTGTGGTTGTCAAGGTTCTCTCAATGATACAAAGGCCCCACGAACCAACCACTGGAACAGGAACCCACTTGCACGGATTGGGGGTTTCGCCAAATACTTTGCAACATGGGTGACAAGGGGCTAGCTGGGGATTTAGCTAACTCACTAAACACTTCACTGTTGCTTCCTAACCACTTAGCCAACTCCTATCCCATCCACATAAAGGCAGATTTCCCCTTCAAGCGCAAAAAAAAGATAGTATGCGCCGGTGGGACAACCAGAGTTCCATTCAAGGAACAGGCCTCCGGTCCTCCACTTCACCTGGCATCTGCTGCTGCGCCTGCAAGACTTGCACTCAGGCGCTTCCGGCAAATTCCTTTCGTCAGCTCATTGCAAGTCCTGAATACAGGCATTAAAAGAAAACCAGGTATGGTTTGGTATGCCAGAAGCGAGTTTGGCTGCCCGCAATGCGAAAACACACCCTTGCAACTCCGATAGCATGTTCGGACCACCACACCCCAAAAACTCCGATCAATCCTCAAACGCCCCTTTTCATCCGCCATCCAGATCGCCGTCGTGCCCCTGCCTGCGACTGCGGCTCCGTTTCCGCGCTGGCCGACTTCAGCCGCCGGTAGAAGGCGGGGAGATCATGGGAGCCCTGCGGCCACACTGGCGGGTGGCAGGGAATGAGACATGGAACAACTCCAATAAACCATTCCTTCTGGTTTCCTTTAAGGGGACCAAAGGATTCCAACTGTTCCAAGAAAACACCGCGCTCTTCGCACGGGTCGTGATCTTGACTAGCTTGTTACTATTCAAATAAGGGTTGCATGACATCTCCCACCCTTGAATCTGCCCAAGTACCCCCACTGCAACCATCACAGAAGGTGAAAGAAGCGGAAGCCCATGTCCAACGCTCCAAGTGTTAGGAGGGAGCAACGGAAACCGCCTGCGCCTTGACTTCAAGTTGTTCCCGCGTAAACTGTCTCTCCAAGGGCGCTTCTATTTTGACACACCTACACACACACTCACATCAAAATCCTGGTCCAGGTAATGCTCTAGAGCCAATTGGACCAAACCGTTCCTCCCGGAAGTCCTGGTTTGGATCGCTTTCCTTTCAGGCACCTTCTGGCGGACTCAACATCTGTTGGTGCAGAGTAGTGGGGGGTATGTGTATTTTCCTGGCGGTTGGCGATTAAGTTGGCCCTGATGAAAACAGTCTCACTTCCCAGCCTTCTTTCAACCAAAAGAAGTGGATCAACACAAGGTGAGGGTCAAAACACATACGGTTGGGCGAAAGTAGACGCCGCAATTCCATTGTGGGTACCGGAGAAGAAAAAAACACGGGGACGAGCAAGGCACGTTTCAGCGTGTCTCTTCGGTCCTTCCCGGTGAACTCCTCCTGGGCCACGCCGCAAGTCCGCAGCATTGCGGACTTCAGGGCCTGGCCGATCGATTCATGGAGAGGGCCACGGCTTTTTTTTCAAGGAGTCGGCAAAGAGAATCTGGTTCGCCTTTGCTCAAGGCCCACTTTTGCAACCTTTTGTTGAAAAAGATTGGAACCAAATTGCCTCAGCACAGGGGAAACGAACCAATTCTGGCGGAGTATTGAACCAGATTACCTCACGATCGTCGCCGACTATTCAAAGCTGCAATATAATTTGGGTGGACATTGAGAAATGGGTGCCAACTCAAACTATTTGAAGTGAGGCGGCCACGCAATCACAAACAAAAGACATGTTCGATGGCGGCTTCATTTGAGGGCTGGATTGAACACGCAAGTGCTTCGCTTGAAGCGAAGAAGGAACCATATGGGTTTCTCAGTTTTTGCCTCTTTGGGCTTCGTCAGAGCAAAACTAAAAGGAAACAAAGAAACCACAAATATTATTGCTAAAAGGAGCCTAAAGTTTGCTCACCCACTTTCTCTAAGGAAACAAAAGGAAACCACCCGCTTTGGAAAGGGCAACAAATGGGTGTGGGTCAAAAAGAGGGAAACCCCAGATTGCAACCCTGGTAAATGGAAACATGGACTGAAACCTGCGGTCCATATCCTGATGGTTTAATTTTGACCCACACCCAAATACTCATTGAGCTTCCTGGCAAAGCTCTGCCAAGAAACGTCTCACGAGTTGGGAAGTCGCAGGTTTGGAACATGTGGCATGTGCGGAACCTTTTCTTGGGTGTCCATGTTTGCACGTTTTACGGCGGGGGAAGGGGTAGGATTTGTTGAGTACTTTTTAAAAACTTGAACAAGTGTGGCGAAGGAGCACCCTCGAAAAACAAGGACAAGTCGGGCAGCTTGAGGGCTTCGCGCAATGATTTGTTTGCAGGAAATCACACGAAACGGAACAGGAGGTCAAATTCCATGTCCGCCAGATTGTCCTTCAGGTAGTTTCTATATATCTCTTCCGGCCTTCTCCCCTTCCTGCCTTCTCCACCGCCTGAGAGCCAAACCACACCGCGAACGAAGGAAAGGCGCCACCCTCGACCAACTTCTGCATGGCCTTGACCTCCTCCTCCGCCTCCGGGCGCAAGAACGGCCCAAGGACACGTGTTCGACGTAAGCATGTTTTCCCCTTGGGCCTGGTTTCATCAAACAGGCATCCCTACAACAGCTTTCGAAGGATTGGGGCAATCCGAGAACCAACGCCCTTTTTCAAAGGATTCTAAAAGGATCAAACAACCGTAGAGTGGCGGGCCTGAAAAACGCGCGGAAGGGGCACCTCTTGCGGGGTCCATGCCTTGAGCCTCCACACCCTCCACACTCACACATGAAAATGCGGTTGGCAACAAGTTTTGAGACGGACATGATGCGCGCCTTGAGAAGCAATCGACTCAACTCCAAAAGCTGGGTGAATGGACAACTGCGGTTCCATGCAAATCTGGGAGATAGGCACCTGGTTTTCAAAAAATGCGCGTGCTTTGAAGGAGGACCTGAGTCCCAATCCAATCATAAGATTGATACCAATGCATTTCACAAGGGGGATGGGGGGTGGGGGGGAAGATTGTACCCTCTGTGGCGCACCTGCGCGAGCGGATTTCCCCCCACCCGTAGCAAACACTCGCGCACAAACAGACACAGAGAGAGAGAGAGAGAAAGAGAGAGGGAAAGAGAGAAAGAGAGAGAGAGAGAGAGAAAAAAAAACAAAAACAAAAACAAGGAGAGAGAGAGAGAGAGAGAGAGAGAGAGAGAGAGAGAGAGAGAGACAGCAAGGGGCAACCCAACACGCACTCATACACCCAGAGTTTGCTCGCGAAGAGGGCATAAATCCGATAACTTGGGCAAGTTCTAAGTGTTCACCGTAGCGTCGCAAGTCAGAAGCTCGTGCAAGCAATACCCACAGCGGGTGCTCAGCTTGCGAGTGGCCCAACGCCGGCGGAGGGCCTGGCGCAGCCACGTCTTGGCCTGACGCTCATCCACGATCCTCGCGCCGGGCGACCCATGGCGCGCGCTCAGTAGCGGCATTGCTCACGCTTGAAAAAACAAACGGCGCGCATAGATCACGCTTGCCTGCAAACTTTTCAAGACCGCTGAAAGGCAAAGGATGAATCTGGCTTGCAAACGCTGAGGCTAGACACTCAGGACAAGGCCAGCTCGAAACCCTTGGTCGAACTGCGGCTGGTTTCTGGGGTCCAACTGTCAGAACTGTCACCCATGCGCCCAAGGCGCCACGGGACAGCTTTTTCTGAATCGGTCCCCGGAAAATATTTCAGGCGCACTGATTCAGCAACTGTCGCCGCGGACAAGAAAGCCAGCGCCAAACCACTGTTGGCAACATGCATTCTATTCACAGCATGATTCGCAAGTCGTTCGGGTATGCTGGCGACAATCTGAAAGCATGTCCCATTGGAGGGTTTGTAGCCGCTCTTGCGCGTCTTTGGGGCGAGGACTCCATCAATCTGGATCTGTTTTTTGGGATGGGACCCCAAAACACATCCAAATTGTGTAGGGGCCCCAATGTTGAGATGGGACCCCAATGCGCCTTCGGGATGGGACCCCAATTTCCAGGGCCCCGATGTTGGGCCCCGATGGTCCGGGCTCCCTTCGCCCGTCGCGTCCGTCCTGGGCGGTTTCCAGGCCGCGGCCTGCGGCCCTTTATCCACGCGGAGCTCCCGGGAGCTCCCGGTGGCGGGCGCAGAGCGCCGCTCCCGCTCGAACTCCTCAAACCAGGACTCCTCGCACGTGGACTCGAAGTAGGCAGTGGGTCAAAAAGGTTTGGTAACCCCAAAAGGCATGGTATATGGAAACATGGACTCAAATCTGCGGTCCATATCCTGGTGGTTGAATGTTGACCCATACCCAAATTGAAAAGGAAACCCAAGCTTCATGGGCGGATTGGCTCGTTGTTGTTGTTTTTTTTGCGTTTCGGAAGACTTTGTATTGGTGCTCATTTGAGGGGACTTCTCCGATGGAAGTGTTCAACATGGGGTTGGGAGGCGGTGTCCCATGAAAATCAACAGCATGTGCCAGGTGGGTGTGGCTCAAATTAATGTACCAAAATCGTGCCTTGGTAAATGGAACCAAAGACCAAAACCTGCGGTTAGCCCTAGCTCTTTAAATTTGAGCCACAGCCAGGTGCTTTTCTCAAAGCCAGGCTCCTTTCGAGCAAATGGTGGGAGACCTGTAGGCTCATGGATCACCAGCTTCTTACGGGCCAAAACACCCCATGAAAGGCCATCGGAAATGCGAACGCATTGAGAAGCTGGTGCTGCGAAATGGTTTTGGGTTCGGAGATGTGTTAAGCAGAAGTATAGGAAACCCTCTTGTTTGTAGCCTTTCTAAGAATTGACATTCCACATTTTCCGTGCAAAAGGGGAAATACAGGTCATGGCCGCTTTTGTAGTCATGCCCTTACCATGACTGTGATATTCCATGTTGATCAGGATTGAACAAATCCAATAAAAGTGAAGCTTCTGTCGGACAAATTCGCACAAGTTAGATTTGAGTCGACAATCATCCCACCAACCAACCAACCAACCAACCAACCAACCAACCAACCAACCTACCTACCTACCTACCTACCTACCTACCTTACCTACCTACCTACCTGCTTACCTACCTACCAACCTACCTACCAACCTTCCAACCTACCTACCAACCTACCACCCCACCACCCAGCCAGCCAGCCAGCCAGCCAGCAAGCGCCAAGCAACCAAGCAACCAAGCAACCCAGCAACCCAGCAACCCACCAGCCAGCCAGCCAGCCAACCAACTTGCGGACTGCGTCAACTCGTCCCCCTCCAAAGTGTCAGGGGAAACAAAAACACGGAACCCTGGACTCGCAACGTGCAGCTCCCTGGTTTCATGTTCAAACCGTCCCCAAAAAGGGTCCTGTTTGACTTGCACTGGCCAAAGGGGCGCATAAGCTTTGACAGCTGAAGTCTTCCCGAGGGAAGCTGGCTTCCTTGTTTGCGGTGAAAGGAACGTCACTCAGAAACGGCCCTAGTCCATTTTCATGGTTGCCGTGGTGCAGAAGGCAGCTTGGACACTCGCACCCTTTTCCCTGAAAATCGCATGCTCTTTCAGGGTGTGTTGAGGAAGCCTTGGGCAGGGGAACCCAATATTGGAGTAGTTCGGACCACATAGCACCCTAAACGGATCAGGGTGTGTCTTGAATTAGGCGACGTTCAAACACAAGGCTTCCCGTCGGTTGTCCTTTAAAACGAGCACACAAAAACATGACCCTCAAAATAAAGCTCCACTAAACTGGGGGGACATTGATTCGCACGGTCCGATTGAAGGCGCTTGACCATCCGTTTCGGCCATGGTTGCTCCGCGAGCAAAACAAACTAGGCGTGAAACCCCCTGGTTGAATGGGAGCTGGATCTGGTCTCGAGAATGTCCTTCGCACTTTGGGAAACTGTTTTAAGTTGATCCCCCGAGCCACTTGAAAAAATGTATTTTGGAATGGGCTCCGACATTCCCTTGCTCTTTATGTGTTTGCCTCGGGGATATGGGAACGAACCTCACCAGGCAGATGCATCTCGAGGCTTGGCCAACTGAGAGCTTCTCAAATTGGCGAACCTCCCTTTTGCAAACAACCCACTCTCAGTATTTTGGGTGTCATTCCAAAATAAGGGACCCCCCCCAAAGTAGAGAACTAAGGGAGGTTGTTTGGGAAGCCAATTTGAGAGGGGGTCGCGTATTTTGGAATGACACCCATGGCGAGCGAGACCTTAACTGCTCCTTAAACGCGGGAGTTGCAATACGAGCAGCCGTTGATACATCTAGCCGTGTTGAACAACTGTGGCCATTTGCATTGCGCGTCCGTAGCATAGAAAAAATCTGGGCTCCTTGACAAATGCGCTCCAGCCACATGTGTGTGTGTGTGATTCTGATACGTTCCATTCAAACATCTGGTCGTTGTGCCTGGTGCGGGTTGCATGTGATTTGCACGTCGCGTCTCACACCAACCCCTGCCACGCCTGCTGCGAAGGGTAGCATGGTGACGGCGTCGGGCGCTGCGGCGCCTGGCGCGCGATCAAAGGACACCGCGAAGCCGACGGTGCATTGGAGCCCTTGGGCCCAGCTGCAACTCTTCCATTTGTTAAAAGCGTGCAACAGCAATGCCTCTTTCCGGCAAACATGGAAGTGCTCAAACAAACCCTTCGGGCAGAGCTTGTGCCCCGGGAGGATAGAGTTGATCATTTACCGCCATCCCCAACATCCAGCTCAGCCATCTCCCCCTCGGGCCCTACAGCCAGACATTTTGTGCTGCACTGGAATTCCTGCCTTCCAAATCTGATTCAGTGGTCAATAGCGGGTTTGCTCTACAACCTAAGGGTTTTGACCCTCGCGCCTCCACACGCAAAGTCAATCAAGCGCACAGTCGTATGATCTATTGGTCTTCATACCTAGGTTTTGCCTCAATGGCCTTCCGGATGAAATCAGACAAACAGATCGTCAATGTCCACCCTTGCTCATTTGAGTCTCTCCAGGCCCGCTTTCCACATGGAAAGGTATTCCTCCTGAAATCCTACAACGTTTGAACCAAAAAACAATTGCAACAAAAACATTATGTACGGAGGCGGGAGTTCAGAAGAACTGCAGGTACAGCCTAAGCAAGCATCTCCTCGACACCACAAATGATACCAAACCAAACAACAGTTCCGTTGCCGTTTTCACGTGGTTTCAGTCTTGAATCTGCGCTGGTCACGTTGGGGTCCCTTCGGGTTCCAACTTGGAAACCTTGGAAACACTGCCCGGCCAACCTGGCACCGTGAGAGTTGGGCCCCTCCAAACATGAGGGACCCCACCACACAAGCTTTTATACTGGGTTGGCCTTTGAATCCCTGAACAAGCTTTGCTCGTTGGCCAGAAGGCGAAAGGTCAAAGAGCAACTCACAGAGAGTCCAACCTCAACGGCACAGGCCTGCAACCCTCCCGAGTCCGTCTTCCGATTTGCCTGCGGCTCTGTAGCGCTTTCGCTTGGACCTGGGACGACGGAGACCGGAGACACAAACTAAGCCCGCAAAGAGCATGGATGGAGGACATGAGCTAGAGTGCAGCTACCACTTGCCGCTACCCTCAAGGGAAATGGGCTAGAAAAACAAACATGGAAGTCAACACTTGTTAATGGTCATGTGACTCATGTTCAGGATCAGTTCACTTCACACCCAAACAATGCGCCATGGTGGCCCTAAAACTGCAATGGTCTACCATTCCAAAAACGGGAAATCCCTTGACTGCTTCCGGCCAAATCTTTTTGCCAGTCCCAAAGCAATTCAATCAAGCGAGTTTGTGCGTCGCCAAGAATTGACCTTGACACTCATCCTGGAAACACCCAAATCCGGGCGGTTTGTGTCGTCCCTGAGACTTCGCAACTTGAGGCGGCCAATAGGCGTTACTTGAGGGCCAGCGACTCACACCCCGCCAAGTGGGAACCCCTCAAGCTTGAACAGACGTGCAAAGACAAACGCCCAGGAACTAGACAACACAGCTTGCACACACACACACACACACACACACCACGGCGAAATCAACGTACGTGTGGCGAAGCCCCGTGGCCCTTACCAGCTGACAGCAAAAGGAATTGGGCCATATAGCAGTCAACTAGGCGGCGGGAGTTCCCTCAGCAAACCTTAGTCAAGTTGTGGGTATTGCTCGGTGAATGGAACTTAAACCTCAATTGACCAAACCTTTGGCTCAACGCGAGTTTGACTTGACCTGCGCTTGCTTCGCCAAACTTTCAAAGGGCATTAGGGTAACATAATCGGAAGTACTGCCATACTCCCCAACCGTCAGCGCACCAACGCGCTGAAACCACGAAAACATGTCCCTTGAGTCAAAGCACTGTCCCCGCGTGTAGGTCTTGGCAACTCTTGGCAGAGGAACTCTGCTACCCAGCCAACTCTGCTGCCCAGCCATTCCGGCAAATGCGCTCCCAGAAGGATTGCAAACGGGCTCCGAATGTTTCCGTTTGAGACATGAGCCCATTGCAAAGGAAACTCACCTGCCATGGCAACAAGCAATGAATTGGACACCTCAACATGGGTATTTACAAAAATGGGAGTTTGCCAAACACTCGCAATATTGCAAAAGTCAACAAACATTGAAAACTGCGAAATGCACCCTTTCCCAACTGACAGCTGAACCTAGCCAAGCAACCAGCAACCGTCACCATGTAGTCATTCAGCCAGTCATCGCTTTCAGGTTTTCCGCCGCAGTACCAGTCGCAGTGCCGGCTAAGCATTCGGAAAACCATGTTGTTGAAGGGCGTGTCACCAGCTTTGTCTGGATGCCATGTCAGGTAGAGCCGACGGATCGCACGTTTGTAGTCTGCCTCAGGGGTCTCAAAGTTTGACTTTGGCAAGCGTTGGGTTCTTGCCTGGCATTCCATATTGTGCGCAACACGCGGCCGCTTGCAATGTAAGGTTGCGCGTAAACATGCGTTCCTTCCTCAAGCCCCATCCCGCATGGAACAGTGTGGGGTCTCTAAATTCTGCAAGTTCCCTTGACATTCAGCATCACAGGTCAATCTACAAAATCGAGGGAATCAAGCGAGGTCCTCACATCAGCAATGACCCCTTCCCATTTGTCCTATACAATAAACAACGTGTCCGAAGGCATGTCATACCATACCTGTTCCCAATACGTTGGAGCCCGCGCGTCAAAAGCACGCCGGCCAAAAGAAAACTGAAGACCCCTGAAAAATCCGCGAAACTTGACCGTCCACGATTGCTATGTTTCAGGTTGTCGGTTGCCGCGATTGCTCAAACGAGCGCTGAACAATCATCATCTTTCTCTGTGAATTGGAAAAAAGGCAACACAAACGCAAACACACGCCCACAAACACACACACAAACAGACAACCACACGCACGCAAACACACACAGGCGCAATTACAAACACACTTAGGCTCCCGAGGAGGGCGGCATGTCGAGTCAAGTTTACTGGCTTTCCCTCCAGAAGAGAAAACATTACATTTCACACCCGAAGCGCGCGCGCACGCACACACACTTGAACTCCAGATGGAGAGTGCTAATCTTTCGAGTACAACTGATGAGTTTCGAGTACAACTGATGAGTCTCGAGTATGGTGAGCTTCGACTTGCACATCACTCAGCTTCACTCTAGTTACTTGAACAGGGGCAAACAAAGCAACGGCGGTTCAGGGAGGGGACCAAAAGGACCTTCACAAACATCACAATTGCAGGTACGTCCAGCTGATCAGGCTGGATATCACGAGTTAACAGCGAGCGTCTTCGTTGGCGCAGGACTCGCTGAAACTCCCTGCGCCCCCTGCTGCAACGGAAAAAGGCTTGGTGGCAGGGTATTCTGCCACTCCGCACACACACGCCCCTCAACGAGGGGCGAGGCTTCTCTTTTTCTGCAGGAAGATCACACGCTTCATCCCGAATCTCTATCGTTGACCAAAATATCCACCACGGCGAGGGGAGCGAGACACAGCCCTAAACCGCTCAGAAGACAGGAACGAAAGATCACCACGTTGAGCGTTACGAGTGTCGCCATAGAGGACTGAAGCGAGTTGCGAAGCAGCCTGGCGATCACCATGGGAAAACGGGGTGGCGTAGGTGAACGTCTCCTCAATTGGAACGGCATCGGAGTTCCGACCTTGAGCAAGAGATTGATCATGCGGATAATGAGTGGCGAAGGACTCCAGCCGAGACAGAATACGCTGGTATCCCTGATGCTGCCAGTCGCGGATGTCCCACGCCTGGACAGGCTCATTGGGATCAGTCACCCGCTGCCATTCCCGAAAAGAATTCTCAGGTAGATCAGGTACAGTGTCACCGCGGCGCCATCGTTGAGGCTGTCCCGGAGTGTATATCCGCACCCATTCCTGTTCCTGCCAGACCAAGTATTCGAGCCATGGGTGCTGCTTCGAATCATCGATGTCCATGTCGAAGTGAGAGGCAAGGATTGTCGCGGGCTCCGATCCAGCTGATAGAGGGACAGGCACCATGCACAACCATGTACAAACAACAACCAAGCAAGCTCATGCAAGTGTAGAGACCACCCTTATTTTGTACGCTGTGCCACTCATGCGAGTCTAGTCCTCAGTCACCTCGAAGATGGGACTCGCCTTGTCCCTGTCACTGTCGGAAGGATTCACGGGTCGGTAGGGCTCGGAGACCCCAACCGTCTCCACTGGTGTGAATCGCGTGCTGGTTGATGAGGCTGGGAAGCTTGACGTGCGCGAGCTGTCAGTTGTTGAGAAATCCCCTCTTGGAGACGAGTCAGCTCCTCGGTAGAGAAATCAGCCGCATCCGAGGACCTGAGAATCGCTTCTAACAGCTGCGGTGACATACTCAATGCCGCAGACTGCGTGGCCACGCTGTGATGATCAGGAGAATACATAGAATCAAATTCATGACCAACTTGAGGGGCAGCTACTCTCCGATAGCCCTCTGTGGCCCAGTCTCGTTTGTACCACATGGTGACTTGGACCTGCCCACCGACTGCGTCCTGGTTGGGAGCATAGAACTCCCTCCATTCTCTGTAAGTGTGCGGAGGAGGTGGAGCATCATGTTCTTCATGTGGTGTCCATGATCCCGGATGAAAGATCTTAACCCACTGGGCATCTGGTTGTTGAGGGTCCGGACACCATTCCAGCCACGCCATGACAACGCAACCCCGGAAAGACAAATTGATAGGTGTATGGCTGCAGACAACACTAAGTGAAAGCAAGACAACTGCCACAATGCAAGAAACCACTTTTGCAGCACTGCACGGCTCCAGTATCGAAGACAATCTCCCGAATCGAATTGAACTGAACAGACTCCCAGGAAGGTGAGGACGAGCATCAGTCATCATGTGAGTTGGAGGATGCCGATGAAGAGGTCAGTCCAGCATACATGAGGCCCGGTGCGCCCGAAGCGAAAACTGGCCGCGCTATGCTAGGGCGTGGACGACCCAGACGTTGGTATCCCCTGGTGACCCAGTCCCTGTAATACCAAGTATAGAAGGTTGCATAAGATACCGGTTGCGAAACAGCGCCTGTGTTGGTGCCGCCCGTGCTTTCCCTAGGCCAATACACTTCCGAAGTGGTGGACCTTGCGCCATTCCCGATAGGTGGTTGAGTCATCCGGGGCCGGTCCCAAGGTGTTCGCGGCGACTGGATGCCACGGACCCGGTACATAGATCCGAATCCATTCCACACTCGTGTTTGCTGTCCCATTGACGATGTCGTAGTCAAAGTAGCGAGGCAGGCCCCATCGTGCTGCACCATACACTGTACAATTGAACATTTCAACCCGGCTAGTCGCTCACAGTCATAGAGGAAAGCGGCGAACAAGTAGAGACGGAACGAGCACCACCATGCAAGACAACCCAACATGGACTCTCATACAAAGCAAGCACAACCGCATTATTTATCCGACATGCTACTCAAGTGTCACTCCGAATCATTCCAAGGATCATAGAATGGTGGCGGCGACGGCTCCCGCCACGCCCCATCCGGCACCGATGAGCCCACCGAGGAATTGACGTCTGCATTCACGAGCATCGCGAGTGCAATGGCTGGTACAGGAGCTCCAAGTCGTTGATACCCTCGTGTTTGCCAGTCTCGGTACTCCCACACATGGTAAGACACATAGGAGCTGGGCGTGACAATGGGATCCGTTGTTGTGCCTCCGGTGCTGTCTTCAGACCAGTACACTTGGAAGCGATAAGACCTGCGCCACTCCCGATATGTGGAAGCGTAGAGTGGGTCCAGAACTGGAGCATCATCGGGAGCGGGTCTCCAAAATACCCGGAGAGTAAATTCGAATCCATTCCACTCCTCTGTCGATCTGGTACTCGAAATACTGAGGGTTCATAGCGGCAAGACAGGCTCTCGCGCGGCCGCTAAAAGCAATCGAAAGTCTGCGGCAAAGACACACATGCAATGGCAACCGCACACAGCTGCCGGAGAGTGAGGCAATTTTTCAAACTCAAGGTGAAACACAGCAACAAGGTGTGCAATATCCGACTCCTAGGCTTCACCGCCGTTGATGTCGCGCACACCTGCAATGATAGTGTCCTGGTCGTCTACGATCACAAGGGGAAAGACATTTTCGCCCATGGCGCAGGATGGCATGACAGTAATGTTTGCAAGTTGCCGATGGGGACAGCGATGGCCGGCCAGCAGGGGAACACTGTAAAAGGCCGTCGACATCGCCGCGGTGCCGAAGCGGATGCTGTCCGAGATCGTTTGGACGAGCGCCCTGGACTGCGTAGTTCTTCATCACGAGAATGGTCAGTGCTGTAGATCGAGCGGCGTGTGCGCTGCGATTTCGAAGAGATAGGGCAGGATTGTCCGCGAGGGGCTGAGATCGAGGGGCTGCGTACCGAGGGCATAAACTGTGGGTGTAGAATCACCGGTGGTGGTGGTGGTGGCGGAGGAGGAGGTGGAAGAAGCAATGGGAAACTTGGCGGGGGCGGAGGTGACGTAGTCTGTCGAATGGGCCTATCAAGTAAGGCCCCGGGTCCATGAAATTGTAACCACGTCGGCTGTGCTCCATGGGTCCAGGTAATATACGTCTGTACAACTTGTTCCGACATGATTTGAGCAACTCAGTCATGAATTCACTTCACGTCAACGGCAGCATCAAACGGCAATCAATATTTTCAAGGAAAATGTAAGTCACGTGCAAGCAAGCAAATCACATGTGATCAATAACACAAGCCGAACACGCCGCCACGGCCTGCCATTTAGTCTTCCGGTGGTCGCTGCTGCATTTGACGACCGCGTTCCTAGCCGCGAGCCTCAAGCTGCTGATAGACCTTCCATGCCTGCTTGACTTCCTCAATGGGCTTCTGAAGAAACCGAGCAATGGTCTTATAGGTGGGTCTGGAATCCTTGTCTTTCTTCCGTCGCACCATCTCATCCAGCTCACCCTGTGTCCATGCCGTGAAAGGTTCACGGTATGCATTGCGAAGTGCAATGGTGAATTCTTGTAGAAGTTCCCGAGGACCATGAACCACCGTAGGAGACGGCCGGAACGAGGAGGCACCTGGATGTGGACGCACCGAGCCATCAGAATCCGAGTCAGGTGTTGTAGGCGACGTCTGTCCTGGCTCTCGGCCACCGTGCGTGGCGAAGGGAGCAAGTGGACGAGGTGGCGGCAGGCGATCCAACATCGATTCAGGCCGAGGACCAGAATTGTGGTCAGTAGCATCTCGATGTGCCGCTCGAGGCGGGGATAAGGCCGGTATGTACCAGGTAGATGACGTGTCCACAGGTCGAGCTCGACAGCCCATGTGGTGCCCTAGGAGTCACCATAGTATCTGACGGGTGGCTACGCTCAGTCACGAGGGCAAAGTTCAGGGTGTCCAGAGC